TTCTTTTGAAAAATACCGTGAATACTCTTCATTATCTGTTCATGTTTGTGTGAAACGTTTGTTTGTTTGTTGGTCTGTTTGTTGTTTATCGCCTCACTCAGCAATTTTCCAGCTATATGACGGAGGTCTGTAAATAATCGAGTCTGGACCAGACAATCCAGTGATTGACACCATGAGGACACCATGACACTATGACATCCACGTAATTGAGACACGATGACATGCATCAACCATGCCTCGTACAACAATCATAGTCGCCTCTTACGGCAAGCATTGGTTGCTGAAGACCAATTCTCTACCCGGATCTTCACGGGTCTTGTATGAAAAGATGTTCTGTATGTAAGTATGTATGATTTGGATTTCCTGTTCGTCTTTTTTGTTTGAGGTCGCCCTCAGCAATAGTCCATAGTGTAGAGGTAGGTGGATGGTGTGTGTGTGTAGAGATAGGTGGATGGTGTGTGTGTAGAGGTAGGTGGATGATGTGTGTGTAGAGGTAGGTGGATGGTGTGTGTATGTGTGTGTAGAGGTAGGTAGATGATGTGTTTGTTAAGAGGTAGGTGGTTGGTGTGTGTGTAGAGGTAGGTGGATGGTGTCTGTAGAGGTAGGTGGATGGTGTGTGTGTGTAGAGATAGGTGGATGGTGTGTGTGTAGAGGTAGGTGTATGATGTGTGTGTAGAGGTAGGTGGATGGTGTGTGTATGTGTGTGTAGAGGTAGGTGGATGGTGTGTGTGTAGAGGTAGGTGGATGGTGTGTGTGTAGAGGTAGGTGGGTGGTGTGTGTGTAGAGGTAGGTGGTTGGTGTGTGTGTGTGTGTGGAGGTAGGTGGATGATGTGTGTGTAGAGGTAGGTGGATGGTGTGTGTATGTGTGTGTAGAACTAGGTGGATGATGTGTGTGTGTAGAGGTAGGTAGATGGTGTGTGTGTAGAGGTAGAAGGATGGTGTGTGTGTGTGTGTGTAGAGGGAGGTGGATGATGTGTGTGTAGAGCTTGGTGGATGGTGTGTGTATGTGTGTGTAGAACTAGGTGGATGATGTGTGTGTGTAGAGGTAGGTAGATGGTGTGTGTGTAGAGGTAGAAGGATGGTGTGTGTGTAGAGGGAGGTGGATGATGTGTGTGTGTATAGGTAGGTAGATGTTGTGTGTGTAGAGGTAGAAGGATCGTGTGTGTGTAGAGGTAGAAGGATCGTGTGTGTGTAGAGGTAGGTGGATGGTGTGTGTATGTGTGTGTAGAGGTAGGCGGATGATGTGTGTGTAGAGGTAGAAGGATGGTGTGTGTGTAGAGGTAGGTGGATGGTGTGTGTGTAGAGGTAGGGGTTGATGGTGTGTGTGTATGTGTGTGTAGAGGGAGGTGGATGATGTGTGTGTGTAGAGGTAGGTAGATGTTGTGTGTGTAGAGGTAGAAGGATCGTGTGTGTGTAGAGGTAGGTGGATGGTGTGTGTATGTGTGTGTAGAGGTAGGCGGATGATGTGTGTGTAGAGGTAGAAGGATGGTGTGGGTGTAGAGGTAGAAGGATGGTGTCTGTGTAGAGGTAGGTGGATGGTGTGTGTATGTGTGTGTAGAGGTAGGTGGATGGTTTGTGTGTAGAGGTAGGTGGATGGTGTGTGTATGTGTGTGTAGAGGTAGGTGGATGGTGTGTGTGTAGAGGTAGAAGGGTGGTGTGTGTGTAGAGGTAGAAGGATGGTGTGTGTGTAGAGGTAGAAGGATGGTGTCTGTGTAGAGGTAGGCGGATGATGTGTGTGTAGAGGTAGAAGGATGGTGTGGGTGTAGAGGTAAAAGGATGGTGTCTGTGTAGAGGTAGGTGGATGGTGTGTGTATGTGTGTGTAGAGGTAGGTGGATGGTGTGTGTGTAGAGGTAGAAGGGTGGTGTGTGTGTAGAGGTAGGTGGATGGTGTGTGTATGTGTGTGTGGAGGTAGGTGGATGGTGTGTGTGTGTAGAGGTAGGTGGATGGTGTGTGTATGTGTGTGTAGAGGTAGGTGGATGGTGTGTGTGTGTAGAGGTAGGTGGATGGTGTGTGTGTGTAGAGGTAGGTGGATGGTGTGTGTGTGTAGAGGTAGGTGGATGGTGTGTGTATGTGTGTGTAGAGGTAGGTGGATGGTGTGTGTATGTGTGTGTAGAGGTAGGTGGATGGTGTGTGTGTGTATGTGTGTGTGTAGGTGAGTTATGGTGTGTATGGATGGAGGGAGGGGGTGACTTATGGTGTGTATGGGTTGAGGGAGGAGGTGAGTTATGGTGTGTATGGGTGGAGGGAGGGGGCGAGTAATGGTGTGTATGGGTTGGGGGGGGGGGGGGCAAGTTTTGGTGTGTATGGGTGGAGGGAGGGGGTGACATATGGTGTGTATGGGTTGAGGGAGGAGGTGAGTTATGGTGTGTATGGGTTGAGGGAGGAGGTGAGTTATGGTGTGTATGGGTGGAGGGAGGGGGTGAGTTATGATGTGTATGGGTTGAGGGAGGGGGCGAGTAATGGTGTGTATGGGTTGGGGGGGGGGGGGCAAGTTTTGGTGTGTATGGGTGGAGGGAGGGGGTGACTTATGGTTCGTATGGGTTGAGGGAGGAGGTGAGTTATGGTGTGTATGGGTGGAGGGAGGGGGTGAGTTATGATGTGTATGGGTGGAGGGAGGGGGCGAGTAATGGTGTGTATGGGTTGGGGGGGGGGGGGGGGGGCAAGTTTTGTTGTGTATGGGTGGAGGGAGGGGTCGAGTTATGGTATGTATGGGTGGAGGGAGGGGGCGAGTAATGGTGTGTATGGGTGGAGGGAGGGGGCGAGTAAAGTTGTGTATGGGTGGAGGAAGGAGATGAGGTTTGGCGTTTGGCGTCTATGGGTTGAGGGAGGAAGGAGATGAGGTTTGGCGTCTATGGGTTGAGGGAGGGAGGGTATGATGTGATGTGTACATGCATGAGATAGAGACAGGTGAGTGAGTTAGGTTTCACAGCATCCCAGCATATAAGGGAACAATAATCCCGAAAATGCTATAAGAACAATTGTCTTCAACCTTAAAAATGATATAAATTGTTCACTGGAGATGCCAGATGTTGTTCATGAAAATAATAGCCCCATAAAAATTATCTGGCTCTTGTTTTCAATTTTCTCTGGATAAGTATTTGAGAACTGATTGAAAAAATATTATGTTTCTAAATGTTCTGTAAGTATTGCTCAATCTCCCAGAATATGAAACGGTCGGTTCCTCCCAGTGAGAAACACAACCCGCCCACAGGGCGCTACTCTGCACGTGTCTGTGCCAACAATAGAGATCGTTTCTAATAAAAAAATAACCTGATATAGTTTGGCTTTTTTCAGATTGATATAAAAATAACTGCCGAATGAAAATAGAATGATCCTTATTGGGGGCGAAATATATTTTCTGATGATGAAAGCTTAACCATCAAAAATAGTAACCATCCTCCGAGGAGTCACACTTTCCTTCAAGAAGTATTTTTTACCGAAATCATGAAATTCAACGTCTAAAAATATAGCTTTGTCAAACGTCTATAAAATACATACTTAAACCATTACTCTAAGTTGTTTGTTTGTTTGTTGTTTAACGCCGCACTCTGCTATATTCCAGCTGTATGACGGCGGTCTGTAAATAATCTAATCTAGACTTTGTCCATCCAGTGATTGACATCATAAGCATCGATCCACGCAAATGGATACAACCAAATTGCATCAACCAATTCAGCGAGCCTGACCACCCGATCCCGTTAGTCGCCTCTTACAACAAGCAAAGACGCCTGTTACGACAAGCATGGGTTGCTGAAGACCTAGTTGACCCGGAATCTCCACGGGTCTTTTATGAAAAGATGTTCTGTATGTAAGTATGTATGGTTTTGTTTCCATGAGTCAAAAGCTTATGGCACAAGCTTACTTAAATCAGAGACCATATACATATCTCTATGAACATAATTTCCACTTTTACAGAAGCAGTAAAGCATTACGTATTCGCATACTTATGAGCATGAATTCTGTAACACGGCAAATAGATTGAGCATTCGATTGAAAGGGTATGTGTTCTGGCCGATCTTGGAGGCATGCTCATAGTAACAAGAATCTGCAGCAAATACCCACTCGTCTCCCTCCGCACTCTTATACTTCACCCCGAACGAAACATGATATTGAGACTCACTGTAAAAGAGAAGGGTTTGGGCCCACTTGTGTATTTTGTTTCAAGAAAGTGCAACATCTATCTGTATATCATTAAACACAATAACCCCCGAGGTGACACAAACGTGTCTCTCAAAGTCGCATGTGCCGTGCTAACCTTGACCTTGATATTCTCTGAAACAACGTGGGCACAGTGAAATGCTAGGCGGCTAAAAAGTCAGACACGTGCCAGCAATAATCGATATTGGAAATTTTCTTGATAAAATCTTGTTCAGGGCGCTGTTTTGTGACAGTGCATCAAGCACCATGTATAGAAAATCATTAGAATTGTCGGGCGACCGTTATGACATTGAACTACTGTTATTTCCGACAGGTGCTCGATCTTAAATAGGGCAATGACGAATGTAGGTAGATAAACAGATTCTGCATGATTGAAATAAGATGTAAATCACACAGTGAAATTTGAAATCTTGAATCTGTCACTGGAGCCACAATCAACATGATACGTTAGAGTACGTTTGGGTACATTTTTGTATTTCAAACATGTAGTTCAAACTAGGAAGGATTGGACATATTCTTCAGCTGTTAATATTAATTCCATACAAATCGAAACTGTTGATACGTCAAAACATTTCTTTGAGACAGGACAACGGCGTGATATTTGTTCCACACAAATCCAGAACTTGATTTGGAGACACAATGAATCCGCCGCCGATTTCTGTCGCATTTGTCACACAGGGTAAATATTAGAAAAGAAATTGAAATGAGACACAAGTGCCTCCAAAACACAAGTACCTCCAATGCACACGTACCTCCAAGACACAAGTCCCTCTAAGAAACAAGTACCTCCAAGACACAAGTACCTGCAATGCACACGTACCTCTAAGACACAAGTACCTCTATGACACAAGTACCTTCAAGACACAAGTACCTCCAAGACACAAGAACCTTCAAGACACAAGTACCTCCAAGACACCAGTACCTCCATGACACAAGTACCTCCATGACACAAGTACCTCCAAGATACAAGTACCCCCCAAGGCACAAGTACCCCCAAGACACAAGAACCTTCAAGAAACAAGGACCCTCCAAGACACCAGTGCCTCTAAGATACAAGTACCTCCATGACACAAGTACCTCCAAGGCACAAGTACCTCCAAGACACAAATACCTCCAAGATACAAGTACCTCCATGGCACAAGTACCTCCAAGACACAAGTACCTCCAAGACACAAGTACCTCCAAGACACAAGTCCCCTCAACACACAAGAACCTCCAAGACACAAGTACCTCCAAGACACAAGTCCCCTCAACACACAAGTATATCCAAGGCACACGTACCTTTAAGACAAAAGTACCTCCAAGACACCAGTGCCCCAAAAATACAAGTACCTCCATGACACAAGTACCTCCAAGATACAAGTACCCCCAAAGACACAAGTACCCCCCAAGACACAAGTACCCCCAAGACACAAGAACCTTCAAGAAACAAGGACCCTCCAAGACACCAGTGCCTCTAAGATACAAGTACCTCCATGACACAAGTACCTCCAAGACACAAGTACCTCCAAGACACAAGTACCTCCAAGACACAAGTACCTCCATGACACAAGTACCTCCAAGACACAAGTACCTCCAAGACACAAGTACCTCCAAGACACAAGTCCCCTCAACACACAAGTATATCCAAGGCACACGTACCTTTAAGACAAAGGTACCTCCAAGACACCAGTGCCCCAAAAATACAAGTACCTCCATGACACAAGTACCTCCAAGATACAAGTACCCCCCAAGACACAAGTACCTCCAAGATACAAGTACCCCTCAAGACACAAGTACCCCCCAAGACACAAGTACCCCCAAGACACAACTACCTTCAAGAAACAAGGACCCTCCAAGACACCAGTGCCTCTAAGATACAAGTACCTCCATGACACAGGTACCTCCATGGCACAAGTACCTCCAAGACACAAGTGCCTCCAAGATACAAAAACCTCCAAGACGCAAGTACCTCGAGGACACAAGGACCCTCCAAGACACACTACCACTAGGCAACTACCTCTAAGTGATTGACATCATGAGCATCGATCTACGCAAATGGGATACGTTGACGGGTATCAACTAAGTCAGCGAGCCTGACCACCCAATCTCGGTAGTCGCCTCTTACAAGCATGGTCGCCTTTTACGGCAAGCATGGGTTGCCGAAGCAATTCAGTAAGGGTTGGGCAGAATGGAAAATAATATGGTTCCGGAACTGTGAGACAGGCTAGTTGACTCTCAACAATTGTGAAAACAAGTTTAAACTACTAAGTTTTCAATCTGTACGTATAAGAGGATAGAGGTACCCATATAAGACGATTGATTTATCCAACGCCAACTTAAGGAACTCCACTCCACTCCTTGACGTCACTATACGTAGTAACCATAGAAACAGTTACATACCTACCTTTAGAGTTTCAGGGGCCCGTTCCACAAAGTGATTTTAGCGCTACGACTATCGTAAGCCTAAGTTAAAGTATGGGAGTTAAGATCGTCTTAGTGCTGCGGTCGCTTTTGGAACAGAGCCCAGGACAAATGGTGACAAATGAGTCAGTGAGTGAGTGAGTATGGTTTTACGCCGCTTTTAGCAATATTCCAGCAATATCACGGCGGGGGACACCACAAATGGGCTTCACACATTGTACCCAGGTGACAAATAAACACAAATGACATCTAATCTAAACTGATAATGCAATCCTCATTGTGGGATAAGGCATTTAGTAGGCAAGAGGTAGGCATACCTATGGGCACCCCCCCCCCCCCCCCCCCCCCCAACTTTTCAACTTTTCAAGTACAACCGAACATGCCCTTTTTACCAAGTTATATGACGGCGGTCTGTAAATAATTGAGTCTGGACCAGACAACCCAGTGATTGACATCATGAGACCACGGTGACTGAAGAGTGAGTGATTTGGTATGGTTTTACGCCGCTTTCAGCAAATTTCCAGCAACGTCAAACAGGGGACACCAGAAATGAGCTTCACACAATGTATCCATTTGGGGAATTGAACCCGGAACTTCAGCGTGACGAGCGAACGCTTTAACCACTATGCTTCCCAACCGTTTCAGTGACTGAAAAACATAAATGTACGTGGGCATGTGGATTCATAGTTCAATCGGGGCGTTATGTAGCCAAGTTCGCTTGTCACACAGACCGAATTCGATCCCCGTAATGGGTACAATGTGTGAAACCCATTTCTGGTGTCCTCCGCCGTGATATTGCTGGAATATCGCTAAACGCGGCGTAAAACAATACTCACTCGCACATGGTTCAATTTCTTAACTGTCGAGCAAACGAAACTAGACACCAATGTTTGTTTGATTGTTTGTTTTTTTTGTTTTTGTTTTTCATCAAATCTAATTTTCATATGTATGCTTCTTTTTCCCCTGCAGCTAGGATGCGATCAGTTACAGACAGACTGCGGCATCAGCTGAGACAGCCATCATCTTCTAGGAATGCATCGCTACGTGATCGATTTGAATTCTGTACGGGTTACTGTATCTACTGAACAAGGAGGTCCTTTGGTTCAAATGACAGTATTATATAATGTAATAGAGCTTCTGCCAGGAGAGCGGATGGTCGGGGGTTCGATCCCTGGCCGCATCATACCAAAAAATGTTGGAAAGATGACGCTTGGTGTTTGTTGCTAACCTGCCTGGCGCTCGACATTAAGGGGCTAAAACAAGGACATGTCGGTTTGGAGTCAGTATAATGTGTCTGAGTGAGGTATTCCTGTTAAATTGTGGTATCTCAGTGGACTAGCACTATAAAATCGGCATAAGTCCGGAATAGTACAAGCAGCCACACACACACACACACACACACACACACACACACACACACACACACGTCGCTATATAAGTGCAATAATCTTGAGAGACGTTAGCAACCGTTTCACCACACCTCCACACCGCGATTCTTTTGACAGGACTTAATGCAGACAAATAAAACATAGCCCGACACAGCGTAATCCAAACCAGTGGTTAATAAGGAGCGTCAAATCACGCCGTTGGTTCACAAAGAAAACCCCAAGAATAACGTCTCATTCATTCCGTATACCTTATTTAATTTCTACCAACATACATTAAATATGATTTTGCAATTTAATATTCCTGTCGACCAACGACCCTATGGTTTTGTATATACACTGCCGGGCAAAAGAAAGTATATACCCATGTTTGATGGTGGCTAAAAATGAAACAAACAAGAAATGGTTATTCGATGATGATGTGTTTGATAAGGGTATCATAGTTGTGTTTTGGACGTTTGATAACGTTTGTAATGTTTTGATCAAGTCCACTTATCAAGTGTTTGCTTTCTTGTTTACATGTTTATATCGAGAGAAAACACACGTATATGTTTACTGATGTCGATAGGACTTGCTATGACTTGGTTTAAGGATAAACAAAATTGCGAACAGTTTTTTTAAAAGCTGGAGCTTAAATGAATAAAATCGAAATAAATAATCCAATAAAAAATGGACTGTAACATATGGATCTTCATTATATAACTTATCTATATGGAAGAAAGTTAAAAATATTCTATTTAAAAATTCATATTTAATTTGTGAAATTTAAAATGTAAATAATAGCATAAACAAAATTGTCTTTGAAGTTCCATGTAATTTGCATCCGTCTCTAGGCAATCATCATTAAAGTCGGGGATGTGGGTATACACGTATAAATAGATTTCCTTATTAGGAAACAGAAGACTGGGGTCGTCTTGTTGTAGGGATATCAGATTAATTGCTTCCATTATTCATTTCCAGAAAGAGTATAGTTCCTCCATTGCCAATTTAATCTCAACAATTGTCCACTGTCTTGGCGCGTGAGTAGACAGTAGACGGTAATTGGAGACGTTATATACTTCCTGGCTCACAACGTGGCCGTTTGTTAACTAAATAACAAGAGTATTGTACTAATAGCGTACATTGGTCCCTCAGTAATAGTGTGTTGAATGGTGTTATTTCTCTCACTAGGTAGAGCAGACTCTCGTTCGGGTGTACTTCAGTTGGAATCGTCTTGAATTTGTCATTTTGATCCCAAGTTGGAAACAGAAACAAGTAATTGGTCGCAGGCCAAGGTGAGGTGAAATGGGGTTTAACGTCGCGTCCAAGATTATTGCACTTATATAGCGACGTGCATGCACGTGTATGTGTGTGTGTGTGTGTGGCTGCTTGTACTAGTCCGGACTGGTGGCGATTTATAGTGCTAGCACACTGAGATACCATGCCGCAGTTTAACATGAATACCCCACTCAGACACAGTATACTGACTCCGAACAGACCAGTCCTTGTTTTAGCCCCTTATTCCAAGCGCCAGACAGGGTAGCAACAAGTACCATCTTTTAACGTCTTTTGGTATGACGCGGCTGGGGATCGAACCCCGGACCTTCCACTCTCCGGGTGGACGCTCTACCATTAGACCACGGAGGCGGTCCCTAGAGGTGAGGTGAAATGGGGTTTACGTTCGCGTTGAAGACGATTGTGCTTCATAGCGACGTGCATGTATATTGGTGTGTATGTGTGCGTGCGTGCGTGCGTGCGTGCGTGCGTGTGTGGGTGCTCGTTGGTTTCACAAAAGTGGTATTGTCTACAACCTGCATAATTTCGGACTAACCTATACACATCAACACATCAAGCTGACGCACTGTTATAACTAGGTTCAGTTCGGTTTTATTACGAAACAGGTTCACGAAAAACGGAAATACTTCTTTGAAACGATATTAAATTAATTTAGATTTGCTCCGTTTTTCCAGCAACACTTGTTTCTTGCTTTATTTGGGTGGTGGGATAGCTTAGTGGTTAAAGCGTTCGCTCGTCACGCGGAAGGTTCGATTCCCTGCGCATGTGTACAATGTGTGAAGTCCATGTTGGGTGTCCCCCATTGTGATATTGCTGGAATATTCCTAAAAGCGGCGTAAAACTATTCTCACTCACTCTTTATGCTTTACCACTGTTTTGTTATTCCGGAACGAGCCATCATGGAGACTCGCGTAGTCATGACAAAATATTAAATACATATTTACATATATTCGTACTGTGTAAAGATTCGAAATAAGTGATCATCCGAACTCCTTCGCATGAAGTTCCGGTTAATGGTTTTAACGAAGATATCCCAAATAATTATCTTTTCCTTCCTATATCCATATAGTTAAGTCTTAGGTAAGTCATCGCGTTGCGATTCCGGGTTAAAATAGGTTAGTTTGTTGTATACCGACGGCTGGTGGGGCAGCCTAGTGGTTAAAGCGTTCGCTCATCACGCCGAAGACCCGGGTTCGATTCCCCACATGGGTACTAACGGGATCGGGTGGTCATTAATTTAAACTTGTTTTCACAATTGTTGAGAGTCAACTAGCCTGTCTCACAGTCCCTGAACCATATTATTTTACATTTTGCCCACCGTCACTGAAATGCTTCAGCAACCCATGCTTGCCATAATAGGCCAAAAGAAACGTTACCAACATTAACTGATTTGCCACTTTGAAACAAAGATGCCAACCTGTTCAAAAACAGTAAAGAACACATCTCACGAATACAGCCTTCATGTTCTCTGTCGTTCTTTGCACGTGCTTTGTGGATTTTGGGAGATATTGTTTTCCAGCAATTTTTTAAAACATTCTTTCCCAAATTATCGTGCAATTTCCGGGTATAAATTACGCACGGATCTGTTCCCTATCATTGGTTGCGATTATTGACACTAACGAACATGCCAAGACTGACCGCTGTCCAGAATGAGAGAGCCATAGGAATGCTGCAGTTTGGAGCGACACAGAGAGAGGTTGCCATTAACATGAACTGCTCCAAGATGACCATTACCAGACTGGTCGCACGTCTCCGACAGACTGGCAGAACCGCAGACGAACCGCGGAGTGGC